GCAAAGAGTAGCCAGCAGGTAGCTTTGTTCCTACCCTCTTGGCATGCATGAGACATTCTTTTCAGGTGTGCCAGATAAGCAAGAGGACATGACAGCTTTTGCTGTAGCATTTTTGTCTCCAGTTATTTTAATTTATGTGTTCAGTTCTCTGATCTGGTACCTTGCCTCAAGATCTGGTATCAGTGCATCAAGAGGATGATGCACTGCAGGATTTTTAGGATAAGTATTTCTGAGCCAACATAACCCACCAACCCTTAAGATTTCAAGAAAGTTGGATGAAGTGATAAATAGATTATATTTTTTCTTGTGGTTGCTCTGCCCAGTAGAAGTGCTTGAGAGGAAAATTTCATCTTTGTTCTGCTTGATCCTGTGCTAGCAAGGATGTGTGAGCAGCCTACAATTCATGGAGCAACAGTGCAGAAATTCCCCAGTGTGCTCTGTGGCATCTGGTCCTAAGGGGCTGTATGTTGTTATCAGTCTTCTTATCAACAGTAGAGATTTGTTACTACTTTCTGCCAATAAACAGTACAGATTTTGGCATCACTTTGAACCTTAATGTCTGTGAAAAGGAGACATGCAGCTTTGCATCCAGTTGTTGAGGTGAGAAGTGAGAAACAAAAAACACAAAAGCAGTTCCCTTTCTGAAGCATGTCAGGTTTCACAAACCAGCTCTTTTCCATAAGAAGTCCTGCATCTACTTACAGGAATATGGGAAGCCTAAAACTGTGCTCTTGTTTAGCCAGGCTCTCTAATGAGACCTACCAACCTATCAGCAGCGCTCGTTTGGAAGTGCTGGTTCTATCAGGTTGTATTTTAGTTGTCATTATTACCAAAAATGAAAGAATCTGAGTTGCTGTGATGAACAAAAAGAAAGAGAAGGAGCATCAGGGGGGCTGACCCAGGATACAGGGGCAGAGGCTGCAGGCACGCTCGCATCCTGTCAGAGAATTCAGCAGAGGGTTGATCTGCCTTGTGCCATTGTCACTGCTGGCTGCCTGCAAAGAAAAATGCAGGATGTTAGAATGGGTGTCATAGGATATAGAAATAAAGAATTGTGTTGTTATTTCATTGACAGAAATAAAAAAAAAAAAAAAAAAAAAGGAGGGACATTTGATTTCTGTCTTTCATTTTGTTCTTTTTTGTCAGAAAAATTGTGACAAGCAGAGAATATTTTTCTGACATCTTTGCAAGTTTTATAACCTACACTTAGGTAAAACATTTATAATGGATTAATAATATTTTGTATTAATATGTGTGTTTGTTAAAAAACCTCCAGAGCAATCTGTCCTTGTTTTACAGTTTGCTTAAGGTCAAATCCATAAACGCTAACCATAGGCAAGTTTGAAGAGGCTCTTCAAGCCCTTAAATGCATGCCTGGACTCGGGCCCACTTTAGGATCTCTTTTATGCTTCAAGCAGTCCTGTGTATTTAAAAAGGAGGCTGAGTTTACTATATTAGTTTACTAAACCCCACATCATCCTTCCGATCATTTATTAGCAGTACCAAGGCAAGTTTATCACCTATTTGTTCCCCTGTGCTTTCATATGAAGTCCTTGTGTCCTTTAAAAAGACAGTGGGAGTTGTGGTTAGCTTGCTGCACTGGCAGCAATGCAAACCTGAGTAGCTCAGTGCCTCTATCCCCACTGGTATGACATAGTCACTGCTGATAACTGCAGGTTCATGGATGGGGCAAGCTCCAGCAGAGAGAGCAGGAACTTCCTAAAAGAGCTACCAGTAACCAGTGGTCTTCTGTGAATATGGCCCTTCTGGGAGTACTTATGGTATATTTTTATATATCAAAAATAGGAGTGCATAAGGTCCCTTTAATGCTTTCAAACTGCTGTATGCCATTCTCTGTTTCTAGATGTCTTAATTATATGTTCATGAAGTCAGGGATTTGGATACAGTACTATATGCAGAAATACATGTCTCCTGGATGCTGAGCGCAAACTTTACCGTTTGTGATGGTTTTCACACATTCAAGACTCCAATCCTCATTATCCATGCCTTGGGAGTAGGGCAGACTTGTCAAAATGGTACACTGCAATCCTTCTACAGGTGATGAGGTAATAGATACATCTAGTGCTTTCGGAGAAGCATGAAACTCTACTGCTAAAATGAAATTGAGTTCATGAAAGGGCAGAGTTATCTTCTAAAGTAAGTTTTTGCATGACTGCAGAGCAAATACTGCATTAAAGATAAGGCTAGAGCCTCTGTTTTACTGATAATGTTCCAAGTTCTCTTTTTTTTCTCCAAATTATGATACAGTTTCCTGCAAGCTAAGCAGCCATCCTGCTAGATCTGACTGCTGCTTTATTGCTACTTACTGGCATGTCAGTCTACTAAGACATGAAGCAGTACCTATAAGAAGAGCCATGAGTTTCCAGCATAACAGGAAAATGCTTATTGGCGACTTGGAAGTCCTGCCATCTTAGAAACTATTGTGAAATGGATCACAGTCACAAGCTGGCTTTAATTTAAAGCTGATTTTGTCCTTATCAGCACAAATGCCTATACATTTGGCAGAGAACCTATAATGGTATTTACACATTTTCCTGTAGAGGTAGATATCTATGTAGATAGATGTATAGGTATTTATATATGTATATATAGATATCTGTATAGATACATTAATGTGTAGATATGTGAAGCATTTATAAACATACTTTGCTCCATTCTAAAACCTCCACCAGAAGTTAAACGGAGGTCTGAGGGAATAAGTTTATCTCTCAGTAACATAGCGAAAGAAATATGAGAGAAACATCATTTTAAAATGTTCCTTACATGCTCAGTTTGTGGTGTGAAGTCCGCTGTGTGTTTTCTCATTGAAGCTGCAGACTGCTTCTGAACTATGATTTGGGGGAGCTGCCTTCAGGAAGGCTGTCCTGGTCTAATGGTTGGCGACTCTGCACATAGCAGGAGGGTTGAAACTGGATGATGATTGTGGTCCTTTTCAACCCAGGCCATTCTATGATTCTATAAATAGCTACCGTGGAAACCAAAAATTCAGGCGTGTGAAACTGATAGGAAATCTGGCAGCATTAAGATGCCACTGAGCAAGGTTGCTTTTATCACTCACACAGTATATCAGTTCTGCCAGTGTTCAGGGTTGTGTTGTGGGCAGCGTGGTACTAGCAAATTACTGGGTTTCATTCTTCACAGCTGATGTTTTAGCTGCCCTCTTTCACCAAAAATACCTAAGTGGCAGAAAAGTGCGTAAGGCCTCAAATTCTGGCTACGGACAATGTTAAATAACATTTGTCTTTGCTACCAATTTTATGTTTCACATTTCGGACACTGGTTCCTGAGGTAACTGAAGCAGGTACCTGAAGTGGGTGGCCTACTGTTTTGATCTTTGTCAGCAGGTTGTGAATGAGATGGGGTCATGAATACTAAGGTGTAAGGCAGTTACCTTTATGAGGACTGGAAAGATCTTGAGTAAATCCCACCAAAATAGGAGATGGAACAGATCTCAGTATCAAAAAAAGTAGCCATCCTCCTCCTGTTTGAAACATTTTCTGTGGTGCAGACCTCAGTAACTTAGAAATAATACATGCATCTTCACTAAGCATTCTGAATTATTCCCGTGTTATTTTTGTCTAGCTTTAATTGGTTAGGTAGTTATGAGTTTATTCTGCAAGGTTTTTTGGTGTTTGCAAGCTTTCGGATTCACAGCATATGTGCTTGTAGTCATATTTGTATTTGTGAATCTCTGTAAGTTTACAGGACATAGCACATCACCAAAGATTGTTACTCATTATCAAAAGCCCAGTGAATTGGAAAGGAGATTCTATGTACCCTCTGCTGGATTTTATTTGTTTTTCATTCATAAATTTTGGTCAGTGAGTGCCAGCTGGCATTCAGGATGTGCAGCAGCCAAGGGGTGAAGCAAACATTCATAAACACATTGCAGGCTGATGCACATTTGTGGATACTGTGGATAAGGTGAGTCATTCTGAGCAGCTAATACATCCAGAACATCAGGATCCTGTCACGTGCTGAAGGAAGTGTTGCAGTTTTTCCCATTTGTTCTGCATCTGGCTCTCAGGAGGCTTTTATCCCAACGTGTTGTTTCTTGTTTATTTGATAATATTCTGGAATCCAAGTAAATGCAAGAAGATTTCTGTTGGGTATGACATTTAGGATCTGAACAAAATTAGTCACGTGTACAACATAGGTGAGTGCACTTTAGGTAGGATGAGACATCCTACACTTGAGTAAATAGAGCTGTGCTCTGCACAGGAGCAGACACGCTAAGTGGAAGTGAGAGTGCAGATGTACAGAGCTTAGCCTTATGAGCCTGTTTGTGAGCGGAATTGCAGAGTTAAGATCTAAGGGCAATGGGTTTTGTCTTTAGGGGATTGTTGCAGTTGCTACTTTTAATGTGAATTTTGCCTGGATTTATGGATTTTTGCCTCTCGTGCCCTGGCAAGTAAAAGGAACGAGGGAAGAAGGAGATATAAACCCCTTCACTATAGGTGTGGGTTTTGTTTGTTTTTTTTTTTACAATACCGTGGAAGAAATACTTTTGAGAGTCAGTTTCATCTTTTCCTTGACCCTGTTGCATTACTTACATGGCAGTGCCACCGTGTGGTACCAGCTGCAGGTGTAGTGTTTGGTCATTAGTGCTCATCTTTCATTCAGGAAGTCAGCAGAGGATTGCAAATGACAGGAACTCTGGGGCTGGTCTAACCGATCTTCACAGACCTCATCCTCCATCATCCCAGAGTGCCCTCGTACCACCCAGGCCGCTTCTAAAAGCCTGCATTGTCAACTCCTCAAAATAGCTGCTGCCTCCTTCTGAGCATCTGTGCAGTGCTACATGGTCTCTTGACTTTACAGTCAGATGAAGCAGCAGTAGAAGAATAGCATCACCTTACAGTTTGCATTTGCTGTGTAATTGACTGAACGTGCTTGCTGCCGCTCTGCTTGCTGTGGTGAGCAAGGAAAGTTTGTGGTTGGAGGAGACAGCGCTCATCATGTTGGTGTTTCTCTTTCAGGGAGTTCACGAGTCAAAAGGTGTGACTGAAGATTATTTGAAACTGGAATCTCTGATCCAGAAAGTGGTTTCACCTTATTTGGGCACCTATGGTCTGTATTCCAGTGATGGACCCTTCACACACTCTTCCTGTATCCTGGGTGAGTGTAACTGCAGCTTGATTTGACACAGCACAGAGAGCATCCCCAAAAGCTTAGTCCACACAGGACTGGGGCCTGCACGTGAGGAGGCAGAGTCCAGAGAAGGGCAATGAAGCTGGTGAGGGAAGTGAAGCACAAGTCTTTTGAGGAGTGGCTGAGGGAGCTGGGATTTTTCCATCTGGGGTAGAGGAGTCTTGGGAAGACCATTCTGCCCCCTACAGCTACATGAAAGTTGTGGCACGGGCGGGTTGGCTTCTTTTCCAAGGTAACAGCGATAGGATTAGAGGGAATGGCATCAAGGTTCGCCAGGAGAGATTCAGGCTGGATGTCAGGAAATACTGCTTATCCAAAAGAGTGGCCAGGTGCTGGAGTGGGCAGACCAGAGATGAATCACCGACCCTGCAGATTCAAGAAAGTATAGATGTGGTACCAGGGAACATAGTTTAGTGGGCAGTGCTGGTGGTAGGTGGACAGTGGGACTGGATGATCTTGGAGGTCTTTTCCAACCTTGGTGATTCTATGGTTCTATGAGACTGAGCAGTATGACCACGCTATTTTTCTGAGGTCGTGCAAAATGCAAAGTCACGATGATTTGGCAGTGGCAGAAGATGCAACCAGCACTCACTGCTTTAGTGCTTTGAATCTGGAATGTGTTCTGCTTTTCCATTCGCTCTGAGGGAATGAGTTTTGACACAGGATGCCTTACGGACAGAGAGAGGAAGACGTAAGAAGCAATTTTGAGATTGCTGAGTATTGTGTGTTCACTAGTGTGCAAAGATTTTACAAGGTTATTTAAGGCAGGGAAAAGTGAGAATTTATCTTAAAAAAGACTAAATGACGAGCTTTCAAATATGTAAAAGGTTTCTGCGGAGTGGAAGATAAGATTAGCACAAATACCAAGAGAAACTCAGATTACACGGGAGGGAAGGTCTCTAACATTGCATTGGTTATGTCCTGGAGTAAATTGTTGGCGTACGCTGTTGAATGTTCACTGCTAGAGGTGCTATTTATGCATTGCACCTATAAAAACCAGGGTGGTTGAAAATGTCCTGCCTGATGGCAGAGTCCCTTCCGTGTGCTCTGTTATGCGAAGGCAAGATTAGGTCAAGAGGAAAGTCTTTGGAAAATCCCTCTGAGTGATGTAATCTGTTGAAATTGTAAAGGGGGTGTTACAGTGTTACTTACATTGTAAGGCATCGAGGAAGTGTGGTACAACCCAAATACTTTTATGTAAGTATTGTGATGGCCTACTTGAATAGAGAAAATCGAGGAGTAAATAAGTTAAATTGCGTGGATTCTGTACAGTCCATTTTGTTTGGTTGCTGATCTTCCTCTGGAAGCTGAGTGGAAAAATGCTTGTGCTGCAGTATGCACTGAAGAAACAAATATGTGATATTGTAAATTGTGGTCTTAATTACAGAAACTTCTTTAATTTGTGTGATTGGCTTTTGTATACAGGTAAGCACGAAAGTGTAATTGTCGAAGAGAAAGGCATTGTTAATGGAAATTGCAAAGCTTGGAGCTGAGCATATTCTAAGCATCCTAACTTCAAGCACTTTTTTTTATTATTATTTTCAGTGGCTGTAGTTGACATCCAGACTATAACCCAATTCCCTCCTCCAGCCGTGCCCTTTTCATGAGGATGGGAAGTGTGAGTGGCAGGGAGAAAGCTTCAGAAGTGTGATCCAATCGATACACCACGTTTTTATCTTTATTTTGTGCACAAGTGAGGCAGAGCAATGAAATAGGCCAAATATCTGCATGATGATGATTTCATCTAGCTGCAGACATCACTCCTGCCCTGAAGCACCGGTGGAGGATCTCCGTGCTCACTTGCTGCCACCTGCCGTTCATTCTTTGCAAAGCACGCACTGGGTTAACAGTGGCGTCCTGAAAACTTCTGCTGGGCTGAGTGCAGCTCTGTTTCCCAGTAAGGTGCTGTGGGCACTGCCCTCCAGTGACCTTTTGCAAAGGCTGTTGGTGTTCTCTCATGGTGTGGTCTCCAAACAATGCCTTGAATCAAAGTTTTTTTCCAAAATAATTTAGTGAAACTGTGTATCTTCATCCTTTATGCTCCAAATATGAAGAGATGAGATTTTTCCCAGGGTGGGTGTCTGGTTCCCTGCATTCTGATGTGGGTTGATTGCACTGCCTCTGCAGTGCCCTTTTGGTTTGGATTGAAGAGATGAGGTTCTGAAAGCGCAAAAGGAGGTGAAGTTAAATAGAAATCGGTGCCACCGATCTTCAAAGTCAGCTTTCAAAGACTTGAAATTAGTGATGATCTTAATAGGCAGAACAAGAACAGAATTTGGCTTTCTGGCACAGCTTGAAGAAAATATTTGCAAGTGTACATCAAGCCTTCTGCAGTATGTACTGTTTTACTCTAGCAGTTGAAATTGAATGACCGTAAGGGAATTTCAACTATTTTTGAATTAGATTTGAGGCATTCGGTATGATGAAGAAAGCTAGGAATCTGAATCCTATGGAGCTATAAAACCAGCCAAATATATTATTGTTAAGAAGTTCCCGTCACACCAGAAAAGCTTCTTAGTATGTGGGCCTTGACTTTTCTTTTGAACACTCATAATTACGAGTACCACAGAAACGGGAGACTTCACAGATGTCATTGTGGATCTTTCTTTACTTACAGAGAAGCGGTTCTTCAGGCGTTCCAAGTCAGGTGACATCCTCGCCAAGAACCCCGTGGTGCGATCGAAAAGCTACAATAATCCGCTGCTGACACCAGTAGCTGAGTATGAAACAGAGGGTATGGCTGCCAACGGGACAAGTGTCCGAAGACACTCTGTTTCAGAAATGACTTCCTGCCTGGAGCTCCAGGGCTACTCCAACCTCACCACCATCATGGACAACGGTTCTAAGAGCTCCATGACGGCCACAAAGAACTTGCTGTCCGACCAGGAGCGGTCCAGTGCTGGGTCAGCACAGTGCTCTGGCAAGCTCAGCGCAGTGGAGCAACAGAAAGGACACTTCCACTCAATGGACGACCCACGTAGGTCTTTTGAGCTGGACAGGGACCCTTCCTTGATTCCTGTTCCTTCTTCTAGCCCCGAGAACATGGTGGACCAGATTTTAGAGTCCATTGACTCTGATTCTGAAGGCATTTTCATTGATTTTGGCCGAGGCTGTTCCAAATCATCAGCGTACAATGTGGACGTGAACAGACAGAGCGTCTTGTGAAGGACAGCAGGACCCGAACCTTGGGTTTTAATATTATACAAGAAAGCTACTAATGTGTTGAGTCAGACCATGGGCAAAACCTACATGTGTCTAGGGCACAACCTCAGCTGTGTTGAGGTATAAAAACACAACGGTTTACAACAGGCAGGAATCAGCTGCCTGGGGGGAGCAACCCCGATGACTTCTCCCAGTCCCCATCCTCTGCATTCTGATTTCTGTCTTTCTGAACTTAGGGATTCACAAACAAGCAGGTATCTGGTAAAACGCACTTGTTCCAACTGGCAGTGTCGATTCAGTCATGCCACCTGGTAAATGACTCAAGAGACTCCTGTAGAAGGGCAGGTTGTTCTCTGGACGGTGACATGTCAGCTGGAGCACAGAAAATTATCCTTTTACAGAGAAAAACAGAGGCTGTGGTCCTTCATACCACAGAACACAACGATAAGGAAGTCTCTTTTAATCTTTTCTTGTACATCTTGTATGCACTCCTTTGCCCAAGGTTGAGCTAAGGTTTCTTGAAGAAAGGCAAATAAATGGAAACGTGCTACCTGGTGTCATGCAATGCCTGATGTCTTGTATTCTGCTTCATGGCTGGTGCTTTGTGTCTGTGAGAGGGTTGTCTTGAAACTGGCTCTTAAGACCATGTTAAGACATGGCACTTTGAAGAAATTCGCATTGCTGCCTCCTGGAGCATCCACTGCAGGGAGAGTTTCCAGCAGGGTTCAACTTAATTGTTCTTACTAAGTAAATAAAAACAGGCCTCTCGATGGGCATCTCCATTATCTGTTCATACTCTTAAAGTAATTCCATAATGCATCTGCGTAAATCCGAGTACGTAAAGTATGTCGTAAGGGAGTTTTACAGTGGATTGGTACACGTGATACCAACGTGAAGAAGAAATCCTGGTGCCTGACATTCTTGACCAGACGGCTTCACAGTAAATGCTGAGCTACCACAGGTCATTCCATTGCAGGTGTCTCTTCTGGAGCTGGGAGGTAGTGGGTACCTCCACAGCTGCCCAGCAGAGATGGGCCTGCGAGTGATGAAACAGAGCCTGGTTCTTAGCTCAGGAACTCGAGGACTCTTAAATGATATCATACTTATTTGATGCAGAGATGAGCAATCTCTTCCATGTCCCAGTAGTCTCAAATCTTACGGCTGAGGAGCAATCCTTGTGGGGAATGTGATAATTGAGATCCAAGCAGGCTCAGGCTTCACTCCTCGGGGTAAGTGCCCAGAGCACAGAGTCACTTGAGTTTTGGCACCAGCTTCCAGGCGTACTTAGACCTGAGCACACTTCCAAGATCAAGGCATGCTGCTTTGCCTGTGGGTCCATCCTACATGGAGCAGAGTCCATGCGGGCGTACCTTGCCAAAATCAACTAGCAGAACCATAGCTGCAGCAGAATATACCTGCAGCAAGAGCAGCTCCAGTGCCTCTGGATGTACAGCTGAAAGCCACAGATCAGCAGACCACTCATAGAATCATAGATTCATAGAATCATAGAATGGCCAGTGTTGAAAAGGACCACAATGATCATCTAATTTCATGTTCCCTTTCCTGTCATCCTCCCGAATTGCTACAAGCTCCCATGTGCATGTGCCCAGCGCTGGCGAGTATTTTGTCACGGTAACACTGCAGTTTGAACTGAACTTTTACACTTCTGATTCTTACAGTTAACGTGGACCTTTTAGGGTCAAAGCTCCAGCACCAGAAGGATCTTCTGTAGGCAAACAGACTCTGCATCATTCTCTGTATTTGTTGCCATCATATCCTTTTAGTGGATCCGCACCTCTGAATTAGGTCTATACATGCTAATTAATTCTTACTTACGATCGATCCTCTGTCTATCTCAATGCTTTGTTTGGCTTTCCTCCTCAACAGTAGTGCTCGCTGACGAGCTTACAATGGCACTGGCTCTGTTCCTTTACGCCATAATACCTATGTAATAGCACAAAGGAGAATTATAGAATGGCTTACGTTGGAGGGGATGTTAGAGATCATCTACTTCCAATCCCCCTGCCATGCACAGGGCTGCCAGCCACGAGGTCAGGCTGCCCAGGGCTCCAGCTGACCTGGCCTTGAATGCCTCCAGGCATGGGCAGCTTGTTCCAGTGCCTCATCACCCCCGAGTAAAACATTTCTTCCTAACGTCTAACCCAGCCCTTTTCATTTTTAAGCCATTCCCCCTGTAATACTGTGAGCTCTGAGCACTTTTTCTTTTTTTCCCCTTTGGATACAAGGGTATTCCCCTTTGGATACAATTTCCCCTTTTGTTATCAACATCAAGCTTCTTGTACATTCTTCCAAGTAGTTCAGGTCCCTATTCTGTCCTGAATGTGAGTCCTCAGTGAGTGCCAGGAGCAAATATCGCTGCTTCACGCTTCATCCGTCTCTTCCAGCCAAAAAAATAAAGGAAGACATTCGGCTTGATTTCCAAAGAGGAAAATTTATCTTCCCACTTCCAGTAGTTTGGTGGAAAATCAAGATCACAATATTATGTTCCTTATGATTGCTCCAGAAGATTTTTTCCAGGTACAGATGCGAAGCTTGATCGTGTGTAAGCACTTGGCTCCTAACCTCAGGCGAGTGACAAAGCACAGGTAAGGTGCGTGTGTTCCCCAGCACAGCGGCTTACTGTCATCTAAGCCTCCATCTGCTGTGAACTACTCAGCCTCTTCCACCACAGACGTGACGGATGCGCCATCATCTGGAAGAGTGACACGCTGCAGCTGGTCCACACTCCTGGCATGTTCCCTGACAATCTCATTGCATGGTAAGGTCGAGGTGTAGAAGTGGAAACACTGCACCCCAAAAATGGAAGCAGAATGGTATCTGGGTAGTGAACAGGCTACAGAAACTTCTGGTGAAACTCTGAGTGGAAAGCTGAAGGGACTTCAGATGAAAAGCGAAGCTCCCACCCCACCTCTCTGCCCACAGCCTTGTAACTGCCTTATTGTTAAATCTTGTTTCAGAGAAGAAAGCTAGGCAGTGCTGAGTGCAGGATTTTGTGTGGAGGCTTGTGCCAGAGGAAATTCTTGGGGCAAGGGTGGAAAACGTTTTCAGTTGTGCAAGTTTCAGTTTAAACTCTGGTCTGTTGTTTCCCACTCACTGACCAGATCAGCTCGTGCAGTTACTTCCTAGGGCCCAGCAGCATGGGCACGGACAGCAACACCAACGGCCTTGCCAATGACACAGAGAGCTTTTCTGCTTGCTTTGAACTAGTTTTTATTTTCTCTGCAGACAGCAGGCCGAGAGGCAGATGTTGGCCTCCCGGCCAGCCGAGCCGTGCTCTGATGGCAGTGGATGACGGCCTAGCGCCGCTGCAGGGGCTGCCTCTTGCGGGGCGGGGGCGAATCCCCGGGGCTGCTGCGGGTCTTCCTCTTCGGGGGGTGCCGGGGCCCCCCCACACGAGCGGCCTCTGCCACGGCTGGAAGGGCCCGCTGCCGCCGCCTGCCCCGACTCCTCCTGTGGATCGTGTGCTGAGTCCGCAGCAGAGGTGCCGGGCTGCCCGAGTCCACCAGTCGAGCCGCCGTGCAGCTCCTCGGTGCCTGAGGACGGAAGATCACGATGGGAGGCTCTGGTGCTGGGGCTGGCCGCAGGGCCGTCCTCCCGCCCTCCCGCAGCACGGCCGTCCCGCTGGTCCGCCTGGTGGCGGATGTGGGGCCGTACAGCGCTGTGGCAGTGCTGATGGGGCACCATACAAAGGGCACCACGTCGCCGTTGGTGAGCGTTCACAGCTCCCGCACCAAGCTCTCCTCGTCCAGCCCGTTCTCACAAAGGACGTTCGCAGCGGTCCACTGTCCCAATTGCACTTGCCACCAGATGCCGCTGGACCCCTCCTGGATCTCCTCCTGCAGCCACTGTAGCAGGGGCGTGAGGTCTTCCTGGTGTTGATGGAAGAAGGCAGCCCAGACCTCGGCTGGGAAGTGGTGCTCAGGTGGAATGAGCTCCGGCTCTGCAGGCCCCCGCTCATCCTGCAGGCTGTCATCTGTGTGTCCTGTGGGCTGCAGGATGGAACACTCCAGGTAATCGTCATCTGACCTCAGCGAGTAGCGGATGGTGGCTATTTTGTGCCTGCATATGGCACAGCTCGGCTTCTGCTTGGCCCACCAGCTGGCACAGCCGTAGCAGAGCTGGTGGTGGCAGGGGGTCACACAGGCGACATCCTCCCGACCTTGCCCGCAGACGGGGCAGGTCCAGTTGGACGGCACGTCCATGGCCCCGGGCTCTGCGGTGGGCTGGGGAGAGCTGAGGTCGGGAAGCTGCTCCCCTCACTGGTGCTGCAGCAGGCAGAAGGTGGTACAAACTGCAAAAGAGAAAGAGAGGCCACGGTCGCCTGCTGCCCCGCAGGCAGGCAGCGGTGATGCCCCAGTCCCTCGGCAAGAAGCCCTCCCGCTCTCTGTTCCCCACCAGCTGCCTCAGGGCCGTGTTCTGCACCACTCGCCTCTGCTGCTGCAAGTGCACCATGTGCAGCCCCAGCTGCCTGACCCAGACAGGGCTGGGGAAAACCCTGGGGAGGCTCCCTCAACAAGCATCCCCCCAGCTGCCAGCACGAGGCATTGCCGTGCTGCCTACCTGCACTGCTGCACGCGTCTCTCTGCAAGGTCCCAGTTGCCTGCTCCCGGCAGGGTCAGGGTAAAGCACAGGTGGCTCTGAGACGGCTCCTGAGAGCTGCACAAGCAGCACCCGGAGCACTTTTCAGCTCCAAAGCTCGCCTTGTCCACAGTCCAGTCCTCACACACACGCTCGGTTGGAGGCCAGGCACAAACTGGTGGGCTGGGCTGCTGCCCCCGCCTTAAAGCAGGGTGGGCTGAGCTGCCACAATACGTTGCACAGAGATGTCACAAACCATCGCTTGGCCGTGGCCTCACCTTCACTCATGGACATCACCACCCGTTCCGCAGTGATGTCACCATCCTTTGCTTGGTCATCACAATGAGCTCACCTCACCTGCTGCATGTGTGCCAGTGGCACTCCAATCCCAGCACGCTTTTCTGGCCTTTCCCCAGCACCTCTGCTTCTTCCATTCCTCCCCACATCTCATGTGCTTGGCATCAGTGTTTCACACCAACCACCGGTGCCTGGGACGTGTCTTCCCACAGGCCCCATGGGGTTGCTCAGGCCAAGGCACACAGCCCCAGGCATGTACAACCAGAAGGTTTATTCAATAAAAGGTCACACTTCCCTGTGTCTCTTGGTCGAGATGATTGTAGAGGTCTTTTCCAGCCTTAATGATTCTATGATTCTATGCTACCCACATCCACAGTCACTGCTGAGTGAACCTTTCACTTCAGGGGAACATAAGGTCATGCTGGTATCACCGATGTTGACAGCTCTCCTTCAGCAGGCTTTCTCTGGCACACAACACTGGTGTCATGGGAAAGCCCTGCAGACTCCACTGGTCTCAAGCAGAGCCATTGGCAGTGTACAGATGGCTGTCACAGGGCCGAGAGCTGAGGGCTCTTGCTGATATCCCCAGCAAGTTCTTGTTCATGTGGATGTCAGGGTGCAAAAGTACCTTGCCGCTGAGAGGCAGCTTTTCTTGGTCTCCTGATTTCAAAGGGCATAAATGGCATGCTTTCATGATGGAGGGGTAAACATAGGTTTGGATCTCAGCCGCACAAGGTGGCTGACTTCTCTGTTTCACAGCACATTTACCCAGAACCCATAGTTTCATCTCTGCCAGTTACATGTGTTTTGTGTATGAGATCAGTGATCCTTAGTGTGCTTTCTGTCTGGCAGAGTGCTTCAGCTCAATCTCTTCCCTTCCCTTCCCTTCCCTTCCCTTCCCTTCCCTTCCCTTCCCTTCCCTTCCCTTCCCTTCCC